ATGATAATACTGTTGCGGTTTTTTGTTATGTTCCTGTTGTATCTTCATAATGTGCTGTTGACAAAATTTGCGCTATCGTTCTTCGATAGCGCGCCCAACACTGGTTTTCCTGATTAGGTTGTGTTGAGACCAATTCGCTTGGTTCTGCTTGCTTTAAGCCACAATTTGGGTTGACGGAAGCTGTCGAATTTAGTCGAGCGATTGTTATTCTGAATGAACACACAGTTGGGTGCACCCAACCTCGAGAAAGTTGCAATTACAGAAGCGTAGAGCATATTGCGAAGAATGCATTCGAGATAAGAGGGTATGAATGGCAGAGGGTTTGAAAGAATATGAGAAAGAGGCATTCAAAAATTTGCGTCGAAGACAAAACATTAGAGCAAACCTCTGAAATAAGGAAGTGTGCCGTTGAGAAATCTCTGTGCGTCCAATTGTGTTGATGGATCGCGAAAAAAATATTTACAAATAATGGTGTTGTTCATTTGGTTTTTTATTATTTATGGAGGGCATAGAAGATAAAACTCATTTGATTTTTTATTATTTATGGAGGGCATCGTAGATAAAACTGATTGTGAGTATTATTCATGGCGAAATATTGATTTTGGTCCCATTTCACATACTAGCTAGATTTTTGAGAAACGCCGATGCGTTTTGTTTTGTCTCACTATCAGTGTCAGCTTTTTGAGTCATTTTCTTCTATTCTCCTCTTTTGTTTATAACCGATCATATTAGATTATTCATTTGACTTTCGTAGCTACAATACCATTTGCTCATATTGCTAGCTTGTTAATTGCATTATTAGCTGGATTATCTGATAATTGAACAATTGGAAAATGAAGAATTGAGAGTCGCGAGAGAATATCTAACAGCTGTGATGACGTTAAATGGGTTTTTTCATCAACAGAGAGAGATAATAATACGCAATTTCATCAGCGAATATTTGCGGTTGGTTGGTTATTGCGTTATTACTGCAAGATCTCACAATTATAAGCAATTTGGAAGCTGCTCTTTTTCAGTATACTTCAAATTATTCTTCAGTCCCAATGCTAATTTATTTGTTGGATGATTGTGGAGAATGCTTTTGGAGAATTTCGCATTGTATACGTTGAAGAGCTGCTGATTGCAAACTGAACCAGCCATTGCATGGGGCTTTATGACCCCAATGGTAACTCCATTGAATTTGCAACCGGACATTGGTACGCAGCAGGTCTGAGTCTCGAGGGATAGTTTCGCTCGAATCCGATAACAATTAATTATTTTGATGTCTCCGGACAGTTTCTATTCTTGACTAGAATAAGTAGCCCCCTTAGGTGCAACTATGAACATATGGATATGGATAGATTTTATATATCAAGCAATACCATTTTCAAAGAGCATTACAATGATCAGATAGGATCGATCAATGCTAAAGTATAGGGCTAGAAGTGTTGTTTTATGAATGGTATTGAATTGTTATTCATGATGATGACGATGATGGCATGGAATATCATCCATCTATCCGCTTATTCGTTTCATTCGTTTGAAATAAACTATATTAGTGCTTTATATATGCATTCTCGATTGTGTAATGCATTAATTATTTTGATGTCGAACGTGTTCAATGTATTGTATACATTTTTGAATTGAATGAATATTCAGCTGAAAAATAGGCGTTTATTTTGATTGTATGCATTTTCAGAGTGTGAAAATGCATGCACTGTTCTGTTGCATGCGTTTCGTTTCAGAACATTTCCTCTCTGGTGTTCGTTCGTTATGTTCTTCGCAAATTTTGCTGTCTCCGATTTCATCTCCTTTATTTAAATGTTGAAATTCTATTGAAGGAATGAATCTCCTCTATTCAATTCCTACTCTCAGGCATTTCTTCAATATATTGTTTTTATGCGTGTATGGTCGTATGTCGACGGGATGCACCTGTTACGGTAAATCTTACTGATAGTGAGTATATCATGAACGTGCTGATTTTTCGTGCGATTTATCGCACTTATCAATGTGCATTTGCAATACTATCATTATTGTAATAACATTATCGTCAAGATGGTGTCGCCTGTTGAAAATTACAATTGTTTTTTCCCATCGCCAATCCAAAACTACCCTTTCAATTATTTTTGTCAGTTTTCATCCTCTGTTTCTGCAGTATTATCACTCATTTCACTAATACTATTGTACTGAGCAACACTTCCACTAAGCACATCTAACTATGTTGGCAATGAGTTGCTCCCTCCTTTTTCCTCATACTTTGTTTGATCCGATCGTGTTACTTACAGTAATGAGATGGCCGTCTCATTCCGGAAATTCTATCAACCAGCGCACATTCATTTACAATACAGTTCGCTATTCCAGTTGTTCATGACATTTTCAGATTTCATCTCAACGTTATTTTCCGCCTGTTGCTTGTCTGTTTATCACTGAATCCTCCAATAGTAATCTCTCAGATTAGTTTTTCTGTATTCATTGTCAACTATTTACCAAAAGTTTAATCATGCAAACGATTTCACTAGGATCATTTTGCTTTGTACGAAACTGGCTGAGGTGAAGGATTAATTTTTTTTGTGCTGATTCGATTGTTTAACGTAAGTACATACTTAAGGATTAAAATGTGCAGAGTTGTTTGGAGTGTTCACATCGTTCATTCATTTCCTCACATTTACACACGACCACTTCATTTTCTGCAATAGACCTACTCAAAAACTTGTCTGGTCGTACGATCTTTTGAAAAACTTCGACAATATTTTGTGCTAATCACTGGTTTGGATTGCACAATTTGTTTCTGATGTTCCAATGAAAAAAGTTCTCTTGTTGTATCGAATTCGGGAGCGTTGAAATGTGACTGCCAATCAAGTCCTCTGCGTGTATTTATGTATTTGCCGGCAATCTTTTGTTCGATGTGATGAATCGAAATTGCATCTTTCAAAAAAAAGATGATTCGTTGCGTTTCATTCCATCAAAATTAATACGATTCTTGTGGTCTTTCGCTTCATTTTGTTCG